GTGAGTGTGCCCGGGATTTCTCAACGGCGGCGAATGTTCGTTCCGCGTGATCGTGGTTTTCGCTAAGTGTGCTACTGACGCCTGGTGCATCCGCGGCGACGGCATCCGGGACGACATCGTGAGTGTGCCCGGGATTTCTCAACGGCGGCGAATGTTTGTTCCGCGCGTTCGTGGTTTTCGCTAAGCGTGCTACTGTCTCTGGTTCGCCCGCGGCGACAGCATCAGGGACGACATCGTGAAAGTGCCCGGGATTTCTCAACGGCAGCGAATGTTCGTTCCGCGTGTTCGTGGTTTTCGCTAAGCGTGCTACTGGCGCCTGGTGCACCCGCGGCGACGGCGTCAGGAACGACATCGTGAGTGTGCCCGGGTGGTTCTCAACGGCGGCGGATGTTCGTTCCGCGTGATCGTGGTTTTCGCTAAGCGTGCTACTGACGCCTGGTGCACCCGCGGCGACGGCGTCAGGAACGACATCGTGACCCGATCGAAAAGACCATCAGGTTTTCCTGATGGACCATCAGAGTTTCTTGATGGTCCATCAGACTTTTCTGATGGTCCATCAGGTTTCCTGATGGACCATCAAAGAAGTCTGATGGCCCATCAGCCCACTCCTGATGGACCATCAGCCCATTTCTGACGGACCATCTGACTTTCCTGATGGACAATTAGACTTCTTTGATGGCCCATCAGGCTTCCTGATGGACCATCAAGAAGGTCTGATGGACCATCAAGAAGGTCTGATGGACCATCAAGAAAGTCTGATGGACCATCAGCCCATTCTTGACGCACCATCCGACTGTCCTGATGGACCATTAGACTTCTTTGATGGCCCATCAGGCTTCCTGATGGACCATTAAGAAGGTCTGATGGACCATCAAGAAGGTCTGATGGACCATCAAGAAGGTCTGATGGACCATCAAGAAGGTCTGATGGACCATTAAGAAAATCTGATGGACCATCAGCCCATGCTTGACGCACCATCCGACTGTCCTGATGGACCATCAGATGCGTTTAGATGGTCCGTCAGAAGTTCCTGACGGCACCTAATGGTCTGTTAAACACTCTTGATGGGATGTCAGAGGTAGTCTAATGGTCGTCAGAAGTTTTATGTTTCACTTCGGTTCCATCAAAAGCGCCTTATTTCCCAGCCGTCGGGACTTTCTTTGCGCACAATGTTTATCAAAAGTGCTTGATTAATTGTTGCTCGCGGTATTCTGACGGCGCCGTCAGAGGCGTTTAATAACAATTGATATATGGGTCGCGACATATTTGCCAGCACGTGATGAGTCGCGGGCTCGCGAGGTGCTGACACAACTATATGTCACGCGATTTGTCTTTACTCACTGAGTCCCCGATTCACCGGCAACTGTGCGTTCGTCTGCAATCACGCACCGTGGAAACCCGTACTCACGGTAGGGTTCATCGTTTCGCATATGCTTCATCTACGCCTTTCATTACCAACGGAAGGTGGACAGACTTTTCGTCGACACATTAATATTTATAGACACGGCACCCCCCGAGCCCCGCAACCGTTGTGAGCATCGGACGGTCGCGGCGGCAATTAAGTTCAGCTTCCAAACAGACCGCGCGGCCATTGCTTTGCTTTACTTTGCTCGAAGGTTAAATAGTCGGAGGAATGCGCCACCGCCTCGCTGAATGAGCTGCCCAAAGTCGAGGAGGCTCCGCAACTTTGCACGCTACAAAATAGGCGATTTGAAGTTATGTCGCGATAAAAAAAGCTGTCGTTGAATCTCGCGTATGATATATGATGGGCCGCAGCCGCGTGGTCAATGGGTTGATGTGATTTTTTATTAAGGAAAGGCCTTATATGTCTCGTCGTTCAGACGACCTTAAAAGTTCTTGAGCGGAAACACGTCGAGTCACGAAAGGTGCTAAAACCGGCGACACGAAAGGTAGAAAAACCTGCATTATTCAGTATTCAGCTGCACTAGAACCCTTTTGGACCAGGGTGGTCGTTAACGAAGCAGCTTCGCAGGGGTTTTAGATTTAATTAAAGTTTTCAACACCACCGCCACCATCATAAATATAATAAAAATAAAAAAAAAAAAAAAAAAAAAAAAAACTTTCTTTCTTTTCCTGGGGGAATCGAACCAGTGACCTCTCGATCCGTATGCCGACGCGCTACCCCTGCGCCACGAGCGGAGGACTGTCGAAGGTCGCGTAAATTATGAATTAGTCTTTAATGTATCGGCTACTGCCGACGCATCGGCTACTTGCGGCGCCAGTTTCTTTACACGCAGTGTTGACACTTGAAAGATTTCTCTAAAAAATGTTCTCATTCAAGTTCATACGCAGTGTTCGACACTCGACGATCCGTTAATTTTAATGTATACTTTATATTTTGAAAGACGTTCGCCGCTTATATCCGTTCGACCAAAAGCTTCGAATCCAAATCCAAATCCAGTTGTTTCGTGCGCTTTGTTGCCTCGGCAGCCTCACCCTTCCTCGTGGAGTGTTTTCGAGGTTTTAGATATTTCGGTAGGTTTCACTCGATTTTGCGAGAACGGAGAAATAAGCGACGTCCACAGGGCTTTATTTAAAAACTGCAATCCTTCGAATGTGGTCGACTTCGAGCGTAGGACGGCGTACAAGGTGTCTTGGGACGGCGACGTGAACACTCGAGGAGGCTATTACGACGCCGAGATCCTCGAACTGACGGGTGATTGTGTATTTTTTACCATCCCAAAGTGCGACGTAGCCACAAGCAATCGCCGTTTTCTTTCTTTTTTATTGCGACTGTAATTAAAAGTGAATATTGTAGACTGCTTAGATGGGGCACCAAGCTAGGCAGATGAATGCATGGGCTAATACTTCAGTTGAGCGTGTGGACTGAACTGCCTTGCACGTGACATCATATGGCACCCTACAAGCCGCCATTGCTCCTGTGCCTTAAGTCCGCGCTAATTTGCTCGTACTCCACCGTTCCGAGTTTCACACTCCGGGCGCAGCAACTAAACGAAGCATAGCGTACAGTAGCGCAACACACCGAAGCTGTCGGCGAGCTGTATGAGCCACTTCCGACCACAGTTTTATGACGAACCCAGCATCTCGCGGATGCCAAAATTATTTTGAAGATAAAATTAATTAAGGGCTCTGTAAAATGGTAAAATAAAAGCCCCCCCCCCCCAAAAAAAAAAAGAAAAAGAAAAAAGAAAAGAATTGCGCGGCGACGTTACGAAATTTTTACGAATGTTTTAATATTTGTGAAAGGTTTGAAGACTCGCTTCGACCAGATATGCTGAATGTTACTTTGACCGATCTATTTATTGACCATGCATGCTGTTTAGATTCAAATGAAAGACAGCATTCTTGAACTCGCTTGTCAAAACAAGAAACTCTCAAACTTGTCAGATATCTTGGGTTTCCGTCTTCCAGCGCGCGACGGAACCTGTCGATGTGCTACTCCAATACTGGCACACCACCGTTCAATAAATAGCACATTAATTAGTTTGCAGGCGAGATGCAGGGACAAACTTTTCCCGCAACGTTTTCGCTTTCCAATCGAACTATCTTTATTCGCTGGGCTGTGCATTCTACAAAGGGCAGCGATCGGACTGTCCTCTCATCTCGACAACTTTTCTGTCGCTGTACCATCATAATGCTACTGTTCGATGGGTAATTCGTTTTCAGGTGAGATTCGGGAACAAGCCCTTTCCGTAATGGTCCTGGCTTTGAAATCAAATCATTTTACTCGCTGGGTTAAGCATTCTTCAACTGAAATGAGGCAGCGATCCACTGCACTCCTCGTCTCGGCGACGTTTCTGTCAGCGCGAAGAAATGACTTGCACTTCGAGAAATACTCGGTGCAAAAAGAGCACGCTTGAGTGTCAGTCCTTTGGTGGCGCTTCTGTCCATTTAATGAACAGAGCGCCAAACTCTTGCGCTCCGCAGCACAAACCTAGGCGCACAATCGTGGCTGATTCAATGTCAATTCATGCGAGTCATATAATACATGGCTTGCATTGATGTTGCATCAGCTGCCATTGCTTCCTGACCAATTTATTTATTCATGATCACAAATGTACAGTCGGGGACAAAAGTCCCCAGGACGTGCTAGCTGCGGCTGAAACCCATTGCTCTGCCACCTGCCGGCGGGTCGCCTGGTTTCGAGATCACACAAAAGCGCACGCGCGTCCCACTCTGCCTGCAAACATGTGCGTTTCCTGCTCTTCTGCAGCACAGCACCTAACTAGGAATCGGGCACATGGTACTGCCTCGGAGATAGCGCTGGCGGCTGACGAGCGTCTGCTATACATTCCAAAACTCGAGATACCGCCTGGGGCATTGCGCCACATTTCGTCGTGTCAGCGCACCTTGCTTTATAACCAGTTCAGCTTATCGCTTAATTGAGCTGCCGTGACTTCTTGCTTTATAGGTCAGTAAGCACTATCTCCGAAGTGGTACCACGCGCCCGATTCCGAGTTAGGCACCGCGCCGCAGCAGAGCGGGAAAGCGCACACGTTGGCAGGTACAATAGGACGCACGTGCGCCCTTCTGTGATCTCGAAACCAGGCGACCCGCCGGCAGATGGCAGATGAATGCGTTTCAGTCGCAGCTTGCGGGACCTGGAGACTTTTCTCCCCGACTGTACCTACGAGAAACCCAAGAGGAAATGGCAACTGAACTGGCCAGGCGCAAACAGGCAGCTGAAGCATCTGCAAGTTCACACAAAGCTGCTCCTCCCAGGAACGTCAGCCCTTGTGCCCTCTAACGCAAAGCAGTTTTTGTGGAAATTTTGTCACCAGAATATCATTACCTGTCTATGTAATGTGGTACATCCTATTTTTTCTGGGAGTGTCCAAAAGCTAAATCTTAGCGCTAATTAAATTTTTAGATGCGGTTTATGTCAGGACAAAAGCTGAAAGTGACGATGTTGCAAGGCTCTCAAAAGCAGCGCCAGCCACATATGGGTAGCAGCAACCGAAACGGACACACAACTGACCAATCCAACTGATGCAGAAAGAGAGCTGGTCGTGCACAAAATGTGAGTGTGGAAAGCAGCTTGGGAATCCCAACACTGCGTAATGTAATGTCGAGTCCTTAACATTTATACTTCCTTGGGATTGCTATGTTTCACCACTCAGTCAAGGCTTTGCAGTTTACCAAGCCTTCTTTATTTCACAAAGGCCAGTAAAGCAGTCGGGAGTGACAAGGAAGACAAAGAATCAACTAATTCACAAAAAAAAAAAGAAAAATAGCACAGGGATCCAGTTTGATGCCGGCAACAATGTGTTGTCATGATTTGTTGATGAGGAATGCCATGCTTTCTGCCTACACCCCAATGTGCGTGAGTAATGCTGCTAGGGGGCACACCGGCAGAAACACCTTTCTCTGACTTACCCTGCTCTATCAATAGCAGGACTACCTGCGGCTCGGCTGTTGATGCGGGAGGTGCTGTAGGGCCCTACTGCCTAACACGTGAGTCATTTATGGCCTGACCTCTGGGTACTCGTATCTTTACCGTACTAACAGAACCCATGCTTTAGCATTAAAAAGGTAACTTTTGTAATGAACCTGCAGTATATGAAAGAAGTTTGCTGTGCGGTGATAGAGCCGAACATGTCATATGCAACACATGGCTTATATCTTGCATAGAGGATATTCATTCATAAAGGGTGGAAACAATAATGCTGAGAAAGAAGGCATAAACGGCAAAGAGCTCTCTACTCTACTGTTGTGACTGCGCTCTGTTGCTGAGCAGAATGACCGAGGAATGTCCTTCCTACGTCATGACTACGTAGCAAGTTCCCCAATGTTGCTAGATTACCTCCCAAATAGGCTCCACATGCATCCACCAGGTGCACATTGAAAGATTGTTTGATTAGCTTTAAAATTAGTTTGCTTGTGCCCTTCAGCAAAAGACTGGTATTTTTGAGGTTATGTTGCAACCTGCAACTCATTAAAGCGATAAAATGAGCGCTGGAATTTGGTTTATGTACCTCTTTAATGTGAAATTGTTTTTTTTTCAGTTGCTGACGAGGACATCCTTGCAAAGAATGAGATCGTGGATCCTAGCATCGGCCTCCAGAAAAGGAAGGAATGGTGAAATAGAAAAACTTTTCACTTTCATTCAGTGTGTAATATACATTAAAAGAGTTTAGGATAGTGCAGGTGTGGCCAGAGTGACATGGAGTTAGAGCCGCAGACAAAACTACGAAAGTTTAGAGTCGCTGGAAAAAAGAAAGGGGGAGGGGGCTTCTTTTAACAAGAAACAATATGGAGGGAACAGTTATTTTCATAGAGGACAAGTATAATGGGCGATAACAACAAATGACACTCTGCATCAGAAGGTCCTTTCCACTGCTAAGCAAAAATTAATACACGATTCACTAGCCAGTCACTGCCCCTGACAACTGTTATGCGTATACGGTTGAAAGTCTTTCTAGAACAATAAAGGAAACAGGGTCACTCGACGCATCTATGGCAAAAAGCATTCCAGGTGTATATATGTAGTGTGTTGCCAGGCTGCCAAGACTTGTAGCTCTTTCTAAATTCTAGAACCCTTTTCGTCTAGGGGACACGTTTTCCAGGGAGCCGCGAGCTGAAATTGGACCCGCAAAGAGCCGCGTGCGGCTCGCGAGCCTCGCTTTGGCCACTCCTGAGATAATGTAAGCACAGTAGATTGAATCGATTGCAACAAGAACTCATTAAAACATTATTGTAGCCTGGCTCTTAATTGTAGTTACAGCCAGTGCCTGGAAAACATTCTGTTGTCATGCTCACCTGATGCAACTAAGGGATTATGTAGCTGTTTCATGCAGATGCCATGAAGCTTTGTAGGCCCATCAGCTTCGCAGACGCCCATGAAGATAGGAATTCATGTGTAGTGCTGTCTTAAATTTAAAGGCCTAAATTTCATTAATGTAATCATTTTAGTGCATTTTCAACGCATCTTGGAGTATACGGTACCACTCTACGTCAACGACTGGTATATGTGAAGCTGTTTCTCGCTTTTGTTTATAACAGATCCATGTTGGGCAAGGTGTGCACGTCAACCAGGAATGCGGGCAACATGCGGAAAGCAGAGTGCGACTCCATGTTTTGCAAGATCACTGCTGCTTCCATAGGGTGAGTGGAAGTGCTTTTGGAGAGGTCGGTGACCGGCACCCTCTCCAACAAGGCAAAGGCAGCGAGGCAAGAGAAGGCGTTTGCACCGCTCACTCAGCGCAAGGTGCAGGCTCTCTCATTAAGCAAACATTTTTAAAATCTTGATATGAATCTCGTGGAGTCGCGTAAAATATTTCATGCTAAATTCGTACCAACGAAAGCAAAACAAAATATATATTTTGAAACACAAGTAATGCATGAATGTGCATTTATTTATGGCAGAAAATATCTTGTATGCAATTTACACGATTCTAACACGCCCCCGATAGTAACACGCGGTTATAATCAACCCACGAATGTTTAAAAAATGAATTAATGTCGATCCTACTGCGCAGATAAATGTCGATTCTACTTCGCAGATAAAATAATGACGGCTGAACAACATACACTTTGTGGAAAACATTTTATCAAATGCACATACTCGGAAAGTGCCTACACTATGTGCTGTTGAAGCCCTACATCAAAAACTTGCAAGCAAAAATTCGGTTTCTTTGTCTTTCCAACCAAGCTCGCATGTCACAGTGGACCACACCGAAGACACCACCAACATCACTCGGTTTTTTGTTTTTGCCAACGCAGTTACTTTGTTTTTTAGACATAACCTTATAGTAAGATCGGTTTTGCTTTGCCAAGGCTGAAACACCATTCCACGAGATCGCAAAAACAAAAAAGCGATTTTGGATTCAGATTGGATTGGATTTGAAACATGTGTTGATGGTGATGGGGCTGTCCACTTTGCACAGTTTGTTTAGCATTTTGTTTAGTTTGGGTTTTTGGGTCCGATTGTAACATGCGTGTAATTTTGAGCTCCAGTTTTTGGGTAAAGTGCGGCTGATCCCTGGCAGCAGCAGGCAATCAGCCGCCCGGAGCCTTGAAAGCTTACAGTCGCCGATCGTGGCCTCCTTGCCACTATCAGTTGTGGAGCACACATTCGTATCAGCCGTCGCAGCGCGTAGAGGAATTCGGAACACCCAAGAATTTTCACGTCGTACACAATGCACTTAAGCCGGGGAATTTGTGAATTTGTTTTATTACAAAATTCGTACCAGTTAGTATCACCAAGGTTTTACTCTAGTAGGTTGTCTGCTAACACCTGGACATATGATGGGGGTACCCCGCCAAGAATGAGTCAATCATAACAGATAATAACCGTAAATAATCGCAGATTTGTATTTTGAACAGATAATTTTATTTTTCGTTCTGAGCAACAAACTCGAGCAAGTGCTCGAAGAGAAGTCAACGGAGAGCTCGATGCGTCGTGGGCTAGCCAGCAAACCTGGCGTGGCTACGAGCTGTGCCGTTCGGGTGCATAGTGTTTGTGTAGACGTGTTACAGCCTAGCCATTTGAAACACCTGTGGGCTTTACGTGGACCAAAGCGGACTAAGCCGTCTAAGCGCCTATGTGTGAGATAAGTAATGTCAAGGTCATCGCGTTCAGGGCGAGATTACTCCAACAGTTGAGTATACCTCCAAACAGCGGCGCTGCTCCGATGTGTAGTGCAGCTACATAGCGGTTTTCGCCATGTCACGACTACGTTCAAGATCCCCAACATTGCTAGATTACCTCCCAACGAAGCTTCAGAGGTCTCCACCAGGTGCACATTGAAAGACTGTTTAATTACCTTTAAATTTAGAGCCAGGCCATGAATGGAAGATCTTTCAAGGAATGTGAAAGATTGTTTTTATATAGAACTGCATTGTTCTTTCTGGTGCTCATGATGCTATTTTTTTAATTCTGTGGTGTGTCTAAGCTGTTACCACAGCGAGGGATGATAACCAAGTATAAGCAGTTTCCAACGTACATTGTCTACTTATCTACAGTTGTAGCTCCTATTTCTTACAAGGTCACTAGCCTAGCAGTGAGATTTATAGACATGGGCTACCTGTTTTGTGATTAAAAGAATCTAACAGAAGCCAGGGTGAGCTGTCTATTGGGAGTGGAACATAAATCAGGATACTGCGGTACTTTTGCTTTCATGGGGATCTCTGAACACTGTAAATACTAAGAAACGTTGAAGGTTTGTTAGGTGCCAGCTGCCACTTAATTGCTTTTATTTGAGACTAATTTACCCTTGGTCTTCTTAAACTATGACCCTCCAGCCTGTATTTATGACGTTCTATATTGGTTTAAGTCTGAGCTCTGCAAAAAATAATTACCCTGGAATTTCAATATTCCAGGCTGCTTTTGACTACACCTGAGGGAGAAAGGTACCGTCAGGCTGAAAGGGCAGCCCGGCACCAGAAGATACGGCGGTACCTGTCAGAAAAGCTGTCCAATCTCAAGAGAAATCAATACAAAGGTATGTGCATCTATACTCTAACTTCCTTAATTAAGTAATGTACTATTTTGGGTCTCAAGTTTACAAGCAATTATTTTAAATGATGGTATAGATAAATTATTTAGAGGTTAATATATCTAAATGTTTATGCAAACAACTTTAAAGTAGTCTGTTGATCAGCTGACCACTTGAAAAAGGTTGTGGGTTGCTTGGTCGCTACTGCCATCCCATCAGGCCGTGCTCGCTCACTCTCCAAAAAGTTGCATGGTCACACAATTACAATGACGCACGTCACTCTTACTGCCCCTTAGTCGTCTCTAGGCCCACTCTGCTGTTTACGTATGTAAATGGTTGTCCTGTGTTTGGACTCATTGCTGATCTCTGAATTGCCCTTGACATGTCCAGGCTCATCCCTTTGCTGCCTGTCCTCCCCCGATGCGTGGTCCCACCACGGACTGCCCATGCTGTTGCAGGTCTGCCATCGCTTGCACCTCATGTTGTAGCCTTTTTACCCTTTTCTTCATATTAATTTAGCTTAATTTATATATTTCCAATACTATTGAAATGGAACAGATGTACTATCGCAGCCAATATGAGCTGAAACGCCACTGCACGTGGCACGTGATGAGAGTTGTCTCTCAGATTGTTCAGCAAACCTTGGTATGCGTTGAGGTAGAAACAAATCACTTCTTGTGCTCGTTGCACCACTGTGCCGTTCCGTGTCAATTTTCAGCTCATAGTGGCGCAATGAGTGCAAGAAGCAACCTGCCTAAACCTCAGCAAACACAGAGGTTCACTGAAAATCCGACAGGTGGCTCTGATAGTACCACACGCCATGCGTCTTGGCGCTTCAACTAATATTGGTCACAATAGTACTTCCTCAAATGTTTCTGGTTTTTCTGAACCACCTAGCCATTCCGCCCAGCGAAACAATGTATGATTTCATAACTTCATAATAAAAACATCAAAGCAATGCAGCTTGTTTGACTTTATTCTTATTAGTAGCCGCATTCGCCGTACTCAAATGTCGGGCTGGCAACTACCAGTGTGCAGTGGACAATATAATTAAATTCTAAGTGGGATATGCACCTCGTCATGCTCCAGGCATGGCATAATTAAGTTTCCAAATTATGCATTCACATATTGTTGTGTTTTTTTAAGTTGTGGCCAACTCGAACTGTTTTAAATTAGCCATGAAACCACCATAATCAAACCGTAAAAAAATAGGCGTCTCAAAATACGACAGGTCACTCGACCATCAGACCAAACCAACAGACCATCAGGCCATCAAACCATCAGGCCATCAAACCATCAGGCCATCAAACCATCAGGCCAACAGACCATCAAACTATCAGGCCAATAGACCATCAAACCATCAGGCCAACAGACCATCAGGCCATCAAACCATCAGACGTCCCAAAATATGACTCCATCAGACCATCAGGATTTTCCTGATGGTCTTTTCGATAGGGGAGTGTGCCCGGGATTTCTCAACGGCGGCGGATGTTCGTTCCGCGTGATCGTGGTTTTCGCTAAGCATGCTACTGACGGCTGGTGCATCCGCGGCGACGGCGTCAGGAACGACATCGTGAGTGTGCCCGGGATTTCTAAACGGCGGCGGATGTTCGTTCCGCGTGATCGTGGTTTTCGCTAAGCGTGCTACTGACGCCTGGTGCACCCGCGGCGACGGCGTCAGGAACGACATCGTGAGTGTGCCCGGGATTTCTCAACGGCGGCGGATGTTCGTTCCGCGTGATCGTGGTTTACGCTAAGCGTGCTACTGACGCCTGGTGCACCCGCGGCGACGGCGTCAGGGACGACATCGTGAGTGTGCCCGGGATTTTTCAACGGCGGCGGATGTTCGTTCCGCGTTATCGTGGTTTTCGCTAAGCATGCTACTGACGCCTGGTACATCCGCGGCGACGGTATCAGGGACGACATCGTAGTGTGCCCGGGATTTCTCAACGGCGGCGGATGTTCGTTCTGCGTGATCGTGGTTTTCGCTAAGCAGTCTACTGACGCCTGGTGCACCCGCGGCGACGGTATCAGGGACGACATCGTGAGTGTGCCCGGGATTTCTCAACGGCGGCGGATGTTCGTTCCGCGTGATCGTGGTTTTCGCTAAGCAGTCTACTGACTCCTGGTGCACCCGCGGCGACGGCGTCAGGGACGACATCGTGAGTGTGCCCGGGATTTCTCAACGGCGGCGGATGTTCGTTCCGCGTGATCGTGGTTTTCGCTAAGCATGCTACTGACGCCTGGTGCACCCGCGGCGACGGCGTCAGGAACGACATCGTGGGTGTGCCCGGGATTTCTCAACGGCGGCGGATGTTCGTTCCGCGTGATCGTGGTTTTCACTAAGCATGCTACTGACGCCTGGTGCACCCGCGGCGACGGCGTCAGGGACGACATCGTGAGTGTGCCCGGGATTTCTCAACGGCGGCGGATGTTCGTTCCGCGTGATCGTGGTTTTCGCTAAGCAGTCTGGTGACGCCTGGTGCACCCGCGGCGACGGTATCAGGGACGACATCATGAGTGTGCCCGGGATTTCTCAACGGCGGCGGATGTTCGTTCCGCGTGATCGTGGTTTTCGCTAAGCATGCTACTGACGCCTGGTGCACCCGCGGCGACGGCGTCAGGAGCGACATCGTGAGTGTGCCCGGGATTTCTCAACGGCGGCGGATGTTCGTTCCGCGTGATCGTGGTTTTCGCTATGCATACTACCGACGCCTGGTGCACCCGCGGCGACGGCGTCAGGAACGACGTCGTGAGTGTGCCCGGGATTTTTAAACGGCGGCGGATGTTCGTCCCGCGTGATCGTGGTTTTCGCTAAGCATGCTACTGACACCTGGTGCACCCGCGGCGACGGCGTAAGGAACGACATCGTGAGTGTGCCCGGGATTTCTCAACGGCGGCGGATGTTCGTTCCGAGTGATCGTGGTTTTCGCTAAACATGCTACTGACGCCTGGTGCACCCGCGGCGACGGCGTCAGGGACGACATCCTGAGTGTGCCCGGGACTTCTCAACGGCGGCGGATGTTCGTTCCGCGTGATCGTGGTTTTTGGTAAGCAGTCTACTGGCGCCTGGTGCACCCGCGGCGACGGTATCAGGGACGACATCGTGAGTGTGCCCGGGACTTCTCAACGGCGGCGGATGTTCGTTCCGCGTGATCGTGGTTTTCGCTAGGCATGCTACTGACGCCTGGTGCACCCGCGGCGACGGCGTCAGGAACGACATCGTGAGTGTGCCCGGGATTTCTCAACGGCGGCGGATGTTCGTTCCGCGTGATCGTGGTTGTCGCTATGCATACTACCGACGCCTGGTGCACCCGCGGCGACGGCGTCAGGAACGACGTCGTGAGTGTGCCCGGGATTTCTAAACGGCGGCGGATGTTCGTCCCGCGTGATCGTGGTTTTCGCTAAGCATGCTACTGACACCTGGTGCACCCGTGGCGACGGCGTAAGGAACGACATCGTGAGTGTGCCCGGGATTTCTCAACGGCGGCGGATGTTCGTTCCGCGTGATCGTGGTTTTCGCTAAGCATGCTACTGACGCCTGGTGCACCCGCGGCGACGGCGTAAGGGACGACATCCTGAGTGTGCCCGGGATTTCTCAACGGCGGCGGATGTTCGTTCCGCGTGATCGTGGTTTTCGCTAAGTATGCTACTGACGCCTGGTGCACCCGCGGCGACGGCGTCAGGGACGACATCGTGAGTGTGCCCGGGATTTCTCAACGCCGGCGGATGTTCGTTCCGCGTGATCGTGGTTTTCGCTAAGTATGCTACTGACGCCTGGTGCACCCGCGGCGACGGCGTAAGGGACGACATCCTGAGTGTGCCCGGGATTTCTCAACGGCGGCGGATGTTCGTTCCGCGTGATCGTGGTTTTCGCTAAGTATGCTACTGACGCCTGGTGCACCCGCGGCGACGGCGTAAGGGACGACATCCTGAGTGTGCCCGGGATTTCTCAACGGCGGCGGATGTTCGTTCCGCGTGATCGTGGTTTTCGCTAAGTATGCTACTGACGCCTGGTGCACCCGCGGCGACGGCGTAAGGGACGACATCCTGAGTGTGCCCGGGATTTCTCAACGGCGGCGGATGTTCGTTCCGCGTGATCGTGGTTTTCGGTAAGCGTGCTACTGACGCGTGGTGCATCCGCGGCGACGGCGTAAGGGACGACATCGTGAGTGTACCCGGGATTTCTCAACGGCGGCGGATGTTCGTTCCGCGTGATCGTGGTTTTCGCTAAGTATGCTACTGACGCCTGGTGCACCCGCGGCGACGGCGTAAGGGACGACATCCTGAGTGTGCTCGGGATTTCTCAACGGCGGCGGATGTTCGTTCCGCGTGATCGTGGTTTTCGCTAAGCATGCTACTGACGCCTGGTGCACCCGCGGCGACGGCGTCAGGGACGACATCGTGAGTGTGCCCGGGATTTCTCAACGGCAGCGGATGTTCGTTCCGCGTTATCGTGGTTTTCGCTAAGCATGCTACTGACGCCTGGTGCACCCGCGGCGACGGCGTAAGGGACGACATCGTGAGTGTGCCCGGGATTTCTCAACGGCGGCGGATGTTCGTTCCGCGTGATCGTGGTTTTCGCTAAGCGTGCTACTGACGCCTGGTGCATCCGCGGCGACGGTATCAGGGACGACATTGTGAGTGTGCCCGGGATTTCTCAACGGCGGCGGATGTTCGTTCCGCGTTATCGTGGTTTTCGCTAAGAGAGCTACTGACGCCTGGTGCACCCGCGGCGACGGCGTCAGGGACGACATCGTAGTGTGCCCGGGATTTCTCAACGGCGGCGGATGTTCGTTCTGCGTGATCGTGGTTTTCGCTAAGCAGTCTACTGACGCCTGGTGCACCCGCGGCGACGGTATCAGGGACGACATCGTGAGTGTGCCCGGGATTTCTCAACGGCGGCGGATGTTC